AAAAAAAAAAAAAAAAAAAAAAAAAAAACATAAGCTGTGGCAGCTAAGATCTACAATAAGAATGAATCTTCCATTCATAAAACTGTGAGAAGAAAGAAATCATGCTAGTTATGCTGTTGCAACACTAATTGCAAAAGTTATAGTAACAGTGTGTGATATGTACTAAGATGAAAAAAGCAAACCTCTCATCGGACAGGGGATTAATATCCAGAATATAAAGGAACTCAACTCAACAGTAAAAGAAAAAAAATCTCATTAAAAGATGGGAAAAGGACATGAATATTTCTCAAAAGAACAAATGATCAACAGATATATGAAAAAATGCTCAACATCACTGATGCATCAATCATCAGGGAAATGCAAATCAAGACCACAGTGAGTTATCCTCTCACCCTGGTTAGAATGGCTATCATTATTAAAAAGACAAAACGTGGCTGGGCATGATGGCTCATTCCTATAATCCCAGCACTTTGGGAGGTCAAGGCAGCTGGATCACTTGAGATCAGAAGTTTGAGACCAGCCTGGCCATCATTGTGAAACCCCGCCTCTACTAAAATATAAAAATTAGCTGGGCATGGTGGCACACACTTGTAATCACAATTACTTAAGAGGCTGAGACGGGAGAATCACTTGAACCTGGGAGGCGGAGGTTGCAGTGAACCAAGATTGCACCACTGCAATTCAGCCTGAATGACACAGTGAGACTCCACCTCGAAAAAAAAAAAACCACAGAAAATAAATAGATGCTGTCAGCAATTCCAAGTAAAGAGAACACTTATACATTGTTAGAATGTAAGTTAGTATAACCACTATGAAAAACAGTATGAAGATTTCTCAAAAAATTAAAATGGAACTACCAAACTACTAGGTATTTAGCCAAAGGAAAAGAAATAAATATATCAAAGGGATACTTGCACCTGCATGTTTATTTCAGCACTATTCACAATAGCAAAAATATGGAATTAATATAAGTGTCCACCAGTTGACAAATGGATAACGAAAATGTGATATACATATAAATATATAAAAATATAAAAAAAAAAATATATATATATATATATATATTTTTTTTTTGCAGGTCATTAGGTTAAGTGAAATAAGCCAAGCACAGAAAGACAAACACCTCATATTCTCACTCATATGTGGGAGCAAAAAAAAACATGATCTTATGGAAATAGAGAATAAAACAATTGTAATACCAGAAATGGGGAACGGTGGATGGGTGAGTAGGTGGGGATGAAGAGAAGTTGGTTAACGGGTACAAACATACAGTTAGAAAGAAAAAATAAATTCTAATGTTTGATAGCAGAATAGGGTGACTATATTTAGCGATAATATTTTGTACATTTCAAAGTAACTTAGAGAGAGGACTTGAAATGATACCAACATATAGACATGATAAATACTAAAGGTGACGAATACCCTAAATACTCTGATTTGATCACTAAACATTCTATGCATGTAACACTCACATGTATCCCACATATATTTATGTAATATTATATATCAATAAAAAAATTTTTTTAAAGATGGAAAAGGCATTAAATTTGTCAGTGAAAGACATGAATGGAATGTGTTCCAAATGATGGCAATCAAGTTTGGAACTATCCACAATTTCAGGAATCCACTAGGGGCTTATAACATAACCCATACAGATAAGGGGGTATAATACTGTATGCCTAAATCAACCACCTGATATATAAGAAGACATCTGAGCAGGCACTCATGCTACATAAAAAGGAAGTTCAGTCCTTAGAAAAACATTTCTCTATAAAATCCTCTAGAAAGCAGTCTATGTTCAAGTTAAATCAAATAGAAAATAATGAAAATGCATTTTAGAAGACAACATCATACTTAAAAGACCCTACATTCCATTTAGAAAAGTTATAATACGTATTCACTAATTCTAAGAGCCTCAGTTCTTAATAATAGTTATTAGTTACTGAGTGCTAATTATACGCCAGACACCATGCTAAGGGATTTACATGTCTCATTTCTAATTTTTACAACAATTCCGAAAGTAAATGATTAGTCCATCTTTAATCATATTTACCTAAAGTCTTCTATGTGCCAGACTTTATTTACTTAAAGTCTTTCAAGCAATGGGGATATATCAGTGAACAAGTCCCAGTTTTCATGGATTCCAACTTACTTGCTAAATTAAGGGAGAGACTATATACATATATATATATATATATATATATATATATATATATACACACACACACACACACACACACACACACATAAATGTATACATATGCACACATATATATTCATATATGTGCTATGTGGTGATATAAGCTAAGAAAATAAAGCAGGGTAAAAGGACAGAGAATGGTGAGAGATGCTACTTTAGACTTTGTGGTAAAGGAGGGCTTTTCTAAAAAGGTGGCATTTGAGTAGACATGAATTCAGAGAGGGAGTGAACCACAATTCAAAGAACATTCCAAGTAGCAGATTTAGCTACTTTTCCATAGAACAGGCTCCTTTAGGGTTGTGAGACTCTCACCCTTAAGGATGTTCAAGAAGACAAACGAGCCCCCTATTATGGGATGCTGTAGTGGGATGCAGATGATGCAAGTAAAGAGGAAGTCTGCAAAAGACTGACAGCCCCTCCCAGTTCTAACAATAGGCACTCTCATACATTTTTTTTTTCCAATGAAAATTCTCATTATTTCAACCAGGAGATTTATTTAGAAACTACTGGTCTTTTTTCTTCCCCATCTATGATTATCTATACTCTAGTATTTTTGAAAATTTTTGTACAAACCAGCAATACAATGAGAAAAAAAGAATGGGTTAAGGACACTCAGACCTGGATCTAAATCCTAGGCCATACAACACAGATTACTGAACTCCTCTAGTTTGCATTTCCTCATGATGAAAACAGGACTAATCACTTACTTTTGGAGTTATAAAAATTAGAAACGATACCTGTAAATCCCTTAGCATGGCACCTGGCATATAGTTAGCACTCAATAAGAACTATTATTGAGAAGTGAGGTTCTTAGAACTCTTCCCTGTTTTCACTTACACCAAATTACATTCCTATTAAAACTAATAATCTGTAAGGAAATAGTTTTCAGAGCATAAGCTGGTTAATTGAAAAAAAGGCAGATTTATAATGTTGATTTATTATGGTTCAATAAAAAGAAAAAAACAACCAAAATGAACAAACCGTCGAATACGTGGATGGGCGTCACATGAACGGTTTCTTGAGAGAGATATTTATAAAACTTCGGAAATAGACCAAGAAAACTTCTGCAATTTGCATCATTTAGAGAAATTCTCATTATACTTACTGGGAAAGAGTTTGGCTCCTTTCTATGGCTGTCACTTCCTGCTTCCTCCCATGCAGAACCAATGCAGCTGTTTTGTGAAATAGTTCAATTGAGCAGGCAGTAAGTTCAGCTAGGCTCCGGATTGCAAACGCATGGATATCCTGGATGGAAAAACAAAACAAAGCATAGCAAAACAAAACATTTCCAGGTGGACATGATACCACTTTACGTCTCTCATACTGCAGGATTTGTAGCAGAGACTAATAGTTGATTTCCAATAAATAGTCTCCTCTTATTCCACAGTAGTGATGTAATTTTACAGCTGGGCTCATAGCTACAAAAACAAAGGCTCCCCTGAAGTCAGGTGTGACCAAGTAACTAAGTTTTGGCCAAATGATTTAGATGAAAAGTGTCAGGAGGCAGTTTCTGGGAAACTTACTCACGACAAAACACGCATGCATCCTTTCTCTCTTTTTTCTTCACTCCTCCTTTAATCTTATAGTCTGGATCTAAGATGCTACAATCCTAGATCACAAGGTTGAAATTACGCATAGCAGTGTAAAAGATAGGAACCTGGGTCCTTGGTTGTGATACATCTCAAATCTACTAAAACAAACAAAAAAGTCTTAGTTGCTTTGGCTACCTCTATTGAATTTCTGTTGACTTGCTCAGCGTTTTCTGCTTCCAACTGTTTTTGTCCTCCTTCATTCTCTGCTAATGGCTTGGTCAGAGACATCCTGATCCATTCGTGGGCAGTATTTCTTGCCTAAATAAGAAAAACATTGTCCATCAACAATTCAATTCAGTTCACCAAATTTACTGTGCACCTACCAAGAACACAATAGCAACTGAGAAGTCAGGGCTCTTGTTCTTACCTCAACATACCATCTAACTTTTCAGTCCTTATCCTACTAGATTCAACAACACTTATCATAGCTGTCCATCATTCCTTTTTGAAATTCTCTAATCAGTTGTTTTTGTTTTGTTTTGTTTTGTTTTGAGATGGAGTTTCGCTCTTGTTACCCAGGCTGGAATGCAATGGCGCGATCTCGGCTCACCGCAACCTCCACCTCCTGGGTTCAGGCAATTCTCCTGCCTCAGCCTCCTGAGTAGCTGGGACTACAGGCATGCGCCACCATGCCCAGCTAATTTTTTGTATTTTTAGTAGAGACAGGGTTTCACCATGTTGACCAGGATGGTCTCGATCTCTTGACCTCGTGATCCACCCACCTC